TCCAGCCCCAGAGCTTTGAAAGACTACAGCTTCCTCGGTGTGGCCTGCTTGGTCAGCTCTGCTATAGGAGCTGAACTCCCACAATCCAAAGTCCAGGAAGTGCAGCCAAGAGATGCGGGGGGGGGGGGCCCCCCCGGGGCGGCGCGCGGGGGGCGGGGAGAGTCTGCTTGTTGGGTCCCAACCTCCACAGACATGCTGTTGAGCACATCCATCAGGAAATGGGGGCTTAGCATGTGGAGCTGGGAAAACCCTGTGTTTACAAGGGAAGCTGAGTCAGACTACTCTATCTTTTCAAATGTTCAGCTATTTCTAGAATCCCATACCGTCAGAGCTGATTCCTTCCTCTTCCCAGGAACTCCCAGGCAGGGAGAGAGCAGAAGGCCGAGACTGCCTTTTTTGAAGATTATAACCTAAAGAGTTTGTGTCCATTTATGGACTAGAAGCCCCTCCCCCATTCTCCTAGCTTGTCCTAAATGCCCTAGAAAAGATGGGGGGGAGGAAGGAAGGGAGCAGAATGCTGGAGAAAGACTGAGATGTGTTCAGGTCCAAAGGGAGCTAGAGAAAGCTTGTGTCTACAGGAAAACTGTGGTTTCCACTCCTCCAGAGGCACTCAACTGAGGACTTGTCAGTGGGACCAGAGTCATGGCCCTGTGAACACTCAGCCTTTCGGTCTTTTTTTTTTTTCTGAACAGCAGTCTGTGAGCAGCCTCTCGAGAGGACTGAAGCAGAGAATTCTGAAGTGCAGAGATGACCAAAGATAACCCAGGATTAGTCTGTCCTGGCACCTGTCCCTACTGTAAGGACCAAGGCTAGAGGCAGAGCCTAGAGACATTTCTCAAGTTCTTAGGGAATCTAAAAGCCTTTGAAAATGTGGGATTTCAGGTGTGAGAGTAAGAAAATGTTAGTACAGCCCTCACTGTATAGATAAAGAAGCCAAGTCTCAGGAAAGTTGAGCTACACAAAGGATCATACTCTCCCCAGCTTTCTCCTCTCGTCCTTCAGACAGGTTTATCAGGGCAATGCTGGCTCACCCTTGTCCTCAGCTCAGCACTGCTGGCCTCCCCAGAACAGAGCAGGCACACTTGGGAGGCAGCCTATCAGCTTTGGAAAGATCTGCCTTCCAGTTTAATACAATTCCAAACTCTTCAAGTGGGAAGTGGCATCAGACAACCATTGGCTACTTTCTCACTTCCTGGACAGAGAGATCTACAAGCCTCGACCCCAGCCCAGGTTGACCCCACTCCCCCTCCACCCACCAGAAAAACTGTTGGTTCCCCCTTCAGACCACACCCCCCAAATCTGATTGCTCCTGTGTCTATGCTGCTGCAACTCTGGTCTAAGCCCTGCCATTTTCTTTCAAAAGTGGTCTTCTGCTAGGTCCCCATCCAGCCTGCCACTGCTCTCCTCGTTAATCAGCTATCTCTTCACCTGTTTTTATCAGTGTGTGTGTGTGTGTGTGTGTGTGTGTGTGTGTGTGTGTGTATGTATGTGTGTGTGTGTGTGTGTGTGTGTGTGTGTGTGTGTGTTACAGCTCACGTGTAGAGATCAGAGGACAACTTTCGAGAGTCCTTTCTCTCCTTTCTACTGCATGGACCTGGGGGATCCTTCTTAGGTGGTCAGGCTCAGTGGTAAGCACTTTTACTTGCTAAGCCATCTTGCCTGCTGGAAAGATTCTTTTTAAAAGTCTTGTTAGGTCATTTCAGTCTTTAGCTCAGCTCCTCCCAATGACTGTTTCCCCCAGAATAAAAGCCCCGGCCTTAGAATGACCCACAAGTGCCATAGCTCCCCTCCTGTGGCTTCGCTCAGCCCTTCTTCCTGCTAATCTTTTGTGTACTCTGCTCCAGCTTCACTGGCAATTCAAATGCCCATGAGGGCATAGATTGCTGTCAGTTTTGTACACAAATGTATCCCCAAAGCTGGGCATGGTGGAGGATTGCCCTTTAGACCAGGCTAAGAGAGGGCCTTTCAAGGTTCATCAGGGCAATGCTAGTACTGCCTTTGTCCTCAGCCCAGCACTGCTGGCCTCTCCAGAACTGAAACTACAGAGTGAGAGCCTGCCTTAGAAACAAAACCAAGACCAAACCAGATCCAAAGCACAAATGTACTAGAAGACACTCAGTAAATTTTAAAAAAAAAATGTAGAAAAAGAAAAAAAGTTTTGTTGCAGCTCAGAAGATGGAACCCGGGGCCTTGCTCACGTCAGGAAAGTGCTGTATGACTGATCCACAGCCCCAGTTCCAATAACTGGTATTCCAATAAATGGTAATCAATTGACCGAGTAAGTGACTGGGACCTAGCATGTAAGAGAATATCAGGCTACAGTTTACATTCGGAGGTCCAGCCATTGGATTTGGTCCTGCCCAGGCCCATATCTAGCCTGTACATCCATCGTCTTCCAGAAAACCAGCCTGCCATCTATTAGGTGATTCCCGACACTTTCCTTCTTCTGTTTTAAAAATTGCTCATGCCACTCAGCCAAATCATTGTCCTTGATCCATCCTGTTCTTTACAGACACAATCTGGAGTCGGAGTTCAGATTCCTACTCCTGATGTCTGCATATGTTCTTCCGGGGGAGGGGGGTCTGATGCTCCCCACATTTCTACTTTGTTTACCCTGTCTTACTCTCCCCCTTCAGGAGGGTCATCGGGATCTTGAGCCAGGGAGCCAGGCCAATGTATCATGGGAGTTTCCCTCCCACAGCCCTACCCCACGAGGGGGTGTCCACTCAAGAACATCATGAGCCCGCCTGTGCCTCAGGAAAGGGCCCGGAACAGGGAGCACTCAGAAACGCTTTCTGATCTCCTCAGCTGCCTCCCCCGTCTTTGTCTAGGTTGTTCACATTCCGGAAGCGCTGATGTGGCACTAAAGATTCCTGCCGCTCCAGCCTGGTCCCTCGGGGCCCCTGGCGTCACCGCTGAGCCTGCTTTCTGGAATGCCTTTGGTATGAAGTGTCCTGGCAGGTGAGGAGGTCTGGACAGATGAAATCCACAGTCCAAGGCTAGATTTTTGGGGCTCCTCTCCACCTCCCCACATTCACCCCTTCATCCCATCCATGACTTAGATCCCAGTGTATTAAACAGACCACAGGAACTCCACCAACCCAGAAGCCTGTGAGGCTCAGCTCCTGCCCAGAGAGTGAGGTGCTGTGTCCCTTCTGGCCTTCCTCTTGGATGTCTGACTAGGCTCAGCCTTCTCCTTGGTCTCCCCCTTTCCTGCTGTCCCCTCCATTTCCTTTCTTGGGCCTTGTGGAAGCCAGAGTGGGGGTGTTTCCAGGAAAGGAAATTTCTCTAGCTCTTGTGCCTAACCAAGAGCATAGGATATAATAGATATTCCCTGGTAGGTGTAGCTGTTTGCTTCTGTCGTCTCGGCCACTCCAGCTGCAGTGAACTGGAACTCCCCAGTGTTTGATTTTTCACAGATCTGGGGATCAAGTTTGTGCTCCCACCATGTAAATTAATGTTTCGAATTTCTGTCTCTTTGCAAAATGAGACTAAATAATAACAAAGTCACAAGGATGTAAGGAAGCTGCTGAGAGCATGGAGTCAGGCACGCTCCATGAAGCTCCTGCTGCAGGAGGTGCCGCAAGCCTGGACGCTGGTGCCCACACAGGAGGACAAAGAGTTATTTTGAAACCTTGACTCAACAAGAACTGAAGTTTGCAACTCAGTGATATGTTTGCCTAGCATGACTCTAAATTTGATCCCAAACATCAAAAATAAATAAAAATAAATGGTCACCTCTATATCTCCCAGAATGAGCTTTCTTTCATCTAAACTTCCCACCAATGTTTCCTGAACAATTTTCACCGAGTTTAATTCTTCCATGCTCCCGTGTGCTGCCTCTCCCCAGCCTGACTGCAACCCAAGTTATCTACCACAGTTCAGCACACCAAGGACTTGCTGCCCGTCCAAAGGGAAGGAAGCAACCAGCCTTGCACACTCGGCTGTGGGATGGAGGCCCAGCCTGAAATTTTCTAGTATTTACACAAGCCTAGCCCTGTCCTCGGACCTCAGGCACATCTGCTGTCACTCAAGCAATTTATTTATTTATTTATTTATTTATTTATTTATTTATTTATTATTTTTTTGTGAACTGTGCTGTCTTAACCCCCTAGCGGCCCAGCCTTCCCCGGGTCTCCAGGCTGTGACCTTTCTAAGTCTCTAGGTATAATGAGGGAGGCTCAAGTCTTCATCCGGAAGACTGGAAGGACAGGTGGGGTATATAGCTGAGAAACTGGAGGCAGCCAGAACTGGGCAGTTAGGGGGTGAATATCAGATTGGGTCAGGAGTGGGGGTGGGGAGAGGGCCTGCTCGGAACCAAAGGCAACCAGCTGCTTGCCTGCACTTTGTCCTCTGCCCCCCCCCCATCCAGTCCCAGAGTCCAGCAGTTTCTCAATGGAACAGACTGCAGGGACAGCTCTGCAGGGGGCTGAGGGGCAGGCCAGGGAGGGTGGACATTCCAAGCATTCTTGACTTCCTCCCAGAGTCGGGAGCTAGGGCCCAGGGAGAAGCTGTCCAGTACAAAGGGAAGGGAATTTCTTCAGAGGGAATAAAGGCTGTGGGAGAGTCTTCAGGCAGTAGGGGGCAGGGCACAAGCCAGTGGGGGAGGGGAGCCAGGGGGAGGAGGCAGCTGGGGAAGGGAATCAACCAGAGAAATCCACCTGATCCATTTCTTCCTTGAGTACTAGGGAAGGAAAGAATAACTCAGGACCCTGGACCAAGGCTTTTCCTCCAGAAGGCTTAACAAGTCAGGCTTAACGGCAGGTGGAACTGGGTGTTTTGGAAGGGTTTTGTTGTTGTTGTTGTTGTTTGATTGATTTTATTCTTTTACAGTGCGGGGATTGAGAGTTGTACATTAAACGGCATTCTGACCACCCAGCTGCACCTCCCAATCCCCTTCCCCTGTTTTGATTAAACAGAATCTGTGTCCCATCTGTGGTCACAAAGTATCAAAAGGCTCAAAGATGTGAACCCAAGTCCCCAAAGAGAACAAGAGACTGTTTTTCCAGTTACCATTGCTGGTTTTAATGAGGTGTTTTTGGCCACAGATGAGGGAGGGTGAATGGCCTCGGGTGTGAAGGGACTGGAGACCCAATTCAGACAGTGCTCAAGACATACTTTTGAAAAAGCCCCTCCCCCTTGATTAGAGGGACATCACTGCCAAATACTTCTCTGTACATAAGCTTCAATGGCACTGTGGCTTTCCCCAGAACACAGCATTCACATTACTGAAAGCAGCAAAATTCACTTAAAAAACAAAAACCAGAAGTGAGAATCACAAAAATAAATAAGTCAGCACATTCTAGGTCCTGCTGGCCTGAGAAACAAACAGACGCATTCATCCATAGTCTGGATATCAGGAACAGCTTCAAGGTTCAAGTCTCTGAGGTCTAAGGTGGGATCCAGAGGCATCTGGTCCCCTTTGAGATGAAAACAATAGTCGGAGTCTTTCCAGGTCTTTGAGATGCACAGCAGCAGAGACAGAAACCAGAGGTAGTTTCCTCTTTAAATAAGGGAGGTTACTCTACATGACCTCCAGGGATGTCAGGGTTCTAACCCTGGTGGTTGATGTTAACAGGAAGTTATGTGAAGGTGCACCCTGACACTGGCAGAGAACGGGGCGAGGAAATACCAGGGGTAACGCTCGTGGCATAAAGGAGGTAGGCACTTTCAGGTCTCTGTGGCCCCACTATAACATTCTGTCAGCCAGGGATCCGTAGGTCCTTCCCGTTCCTTTCCACATCTGTGCTATTTCTCTCATCTTCCAGGTTCAGTCAGGCTGAAGACACAGAGCCCTTGATGTACTCTACTCCCCGGGGGAATCCTACCCAGGGTTCCTCGGCAAACCCTCTCAGAGCCTGCCCCATACTGGGGCACTGCCTCTCCTCCTCAGCTGAGCTTCGAGCAGATTCTTAGGGCTTGTCTGTAGGCTGCTGTCACCTCTTGGCAGTCTGTCAGAGAAAAGCAGCTCTCCCCCAAGGATTCCTGCCACCATCGCTTCAGGCCTTCTGAGGGAGGCTGCTCAAGCCTCCTCAGGTTGTCCACAGACACACAGCCCCTCAGAGGGGTTTCGGGAAGCCGCTCAGGCAAGTCCAGTTGGTCAAAAGACTCGGAGGACAGGATGCTTTCCTCACTCACAGCCCCTGAGGGACGGCTGGCCCGGGCTGCAGGATGAGGGGAAGCCAGTTGGTCCAGGGACCCAAAGGTACTAGGGGAAGTGCCTTCTAAGGCTGTGCGGGAGAACTTGCCATTGAGTTTGAGAATGCCTTTGCGGTGGAGGAGGAGACCTGAAGCTTGTGGAGACTTCTGCTCCACGGGGTCCCCATTCACAAAAACATCACCTGCATCTAAGAGTTCCCCAGACTCACTGGGCTCTGGAGAGGAGTAATAACCAGATTCTCGCTGCCGAGACTTCTTAAGGATGCCCTTCTTTGGGAGCAGGGATACAGCAGGGACAGGCTGCCCTTGAGAATCAGGCACTGGTCTGAGTTCTTGAGGGTCCTCCTGTACCTCCCCTGATGAGGTAGAGGTCTTTTTCTTCAGAATGCCTTTCGGAAGCTTGAGGCTGCTCTTGCCAGGGCGAGAGGAGGTATCCTCAGCTGGGTCACCCTGCAGAGTCTGAGCCATGTCATTCTCCTTACGGGACTTCTTAAGAGAATGTTGCCGCTCCAGCCCAGGTAAGGCGTTCCCCCCTCCCGGCACATGCTGCTTGAAGAAGCTGCACACCTTGGCTCCATTCTCCAGGAGGGGGCGGGAGGAGCGACGTAACCAGTCTGCCATGGAGGCCCGGCCAGAGTCACCACTAGGGTGCCCACCCTCACGCAGAGCTTCCTGTTCTCCAACTCGGGTGGTATAGCCCCAGTTGACCCACCAATGACTGGCTACATCCTCCAGTGTGGCCCGACGGGTGGGATTCACCATTAACAGCCACCGGATCAGGCCACAGGCATCTGTAAAACAAAGGCAAGGGCTTAATAGCTGCAAGAACCATCATCTAAGGTCCTCTACCAAGAGCCTGCCTCACCTAAGGGTAGACACTGCTCATGCTTCTGGGTGAGACTAGTGCATTCCTTCCTCAGGCTCCATACAGGTTCAGGCCCATTCCCCAGGCCAACTCTCCTGGACAGGCACAGGCAACTGCCTCTGTCCCACAAGCTTTTCCTTCTAGCCCTTGTTTCTACATCTGTGTTTTCCTTCTCTGCTGAAACTCAATTCTCTGAGGACAGGCACTATACTCAACGACAAAGCAACACTCTCCTATGCTCCTTCCCTCTGACTATACTTATATAAAAGGTCATATTTCTCAGGATGAAGAAAAAGTCAGTAAGAATCAATACAACTATAGCAAAGAGGATTAAGCTGGACCTTAGGGAGCATTTCTGAAGCACGTTCACAGTGAAGAAAGCTGCCCCTTCCTCAGAGGTCTCCGACCAGAGAGCAGTGTGGCGCATCCTAGCGTCCTAATCTCGGAATCACTATGGACTGCTCCCTTCTTTACCACCGTGTCTAGTCACTGTGTTGGGAATCATTGGCCGTGACAGCGTACCCCACTCGCCCATGGCAGTGACAGCGTACCAGCCCGGTCACAGTTCCCACTTACCAGACGGCTTGGGCGGCTCACGGTAAGCCCCGCTACTGATTTGCTTCACCAGTGTTTTATGATCCTGCCCATCAAAGGGCATGGTGCCATGCACCAGGATGTACAGGAGAACGCCCAGAGACCAGCTGTCCACCTGAGAGAGAGGGGGAAGAGATGCTCAAACAAAGCCACAGCACGTGCTGTAGACTGGAGAGCTGCAATCCATCCGTGTCTCCAACACAATGGAAGACATGAAGGTCTCATCTGAAGGCTTCCTCTTACCCTCTCTTGTAACTAGGGGTGAAGTAGGAGGTGCAGCAAAGGGTCAGGAACTCATAGGAAAAGATAATGCCAGTCACTTCCCCCTGGAAAGGATAGCCACAAGCATAGGAACAGTGGCCAGGCCATTGCCATCCTTCTGAGTCAAAGGTGGGGTGGCTGGAGGTGATGAGAACCAGGGGGCAAGAACAAGATCCAATACCAGGAGACCTCTGTTCTATGACTGCTTTGTTATTTCCCCCTCAAGGCTTGGGCAAGCCACTGCTTTGTAGGGGCCTAGGTTTTGTGCTCTGAAAAAGGAAGTAACTTGCAAACTACCTCATCTATCCTGCATGACCTGGATTCAGGATGCCGGTAGAAGAAGGATGCTTACCTCTGGGCCCACATAGGGCTTCCCGTTGACGATCTCAGGTGAGGCATAGAGAGGACTCCCACAGAACGTCTGGAGGAACTTGCCTTTGTGGTACAGGTTGGAGAGGCCAAAATCAGCAATCTATCGGATTGGGACAAACACAGGTCATGACAAAGGTCTGGTTGTCCCATAGCTCTTGGTCATCCTTTCTCCCGGCAATACACAGTTTAATCTGCTGCAGTCAAGAAGCCCTTCAGCTCGTCACCTTGTTACTATCACTCTCTGTGCCCCCTGCCCCGGAAAACACAGGATCCTGGGAAAAGCCAGGCCCTGGTGAAAGAAGAGAGACACCCAACCCACATCTCATAGCTCAGGTCCTGAAAGACAGTGCCTTAAGGCCCTCAGTAGGCAAGCAAGGCCCCTGACCCAGTAACTATGTGAAGCCTGAGCTGCCCTTTTGAGCCATGGGTTCATCTCTGCCCACACCTAGGCAGAAAGCCAGGGTAGACCTGCATGGCTAAGGGGCAAAGAGGAGGAGAGGACAAAAGTCAGAACTGTTCACAGCTCAGAAAATGGAATCCTCTCAAAAGACTCCCCGAGCTGCTGGATTTTAGGGGCCAGAGAGGTTCTAAGATCATCCGCTTCTTTTCCATCAGCTAGAGGTGGAGGTCAAGACCCTGAGGCTACCTGACCCTTCACCCCATCAAAAGGTCATGTGTGCAGGGTGGGGAGGGCTATTTATGAAACCCTGGCTCCTTTGTTTATAGCTTTATTGGCATCTTATCAAGCAGTTGCCAGGTGAACTGGTAATGACGTTGATGATTGGTACCAACAGAGTCTATGCCCTTCTCTGGCTTGTGTGAGTTTACTGGCTCTGGCCTCCCTTCCCTGTCAGCATCAAAGAAACCCCACCTGCTTCAGGAATGGCCTGGATAAGGGCTACCGATTCAGTACCAGGATACTTCAGGACACGCAGGTCAGCAGCCATAGAGTGACCCTTGTCCTATGTCGGGTAGATCTGAGAAGGGCCAGACGGTCACCCTCCCAGTTGTTTGCCAGGCTAGCTTGTCACCTCAGCCAGCTCTTGTCATCTTGCCCTTCCAGCCCTGAGATTCTTGTTTATTTCCTTGGCATGAACTTGTGATTGACATAAATCTAGCTGCTTCAGCATGAGAATGAGAACCTGGTGTTTTCGGGAAACAGAAAGTGATAACAATAAGGAAAGGAGCTTCGTGTGGGACTTTTTGACTGCAGCAGATTAGACTGTGTATGAGGGCTGTGTGCAAGCACTCAGAGCAAGGGAACTAGGCTCAGTACCTGTTGGCCCCAAAGTTATGAATACAAATTGACCCTAGATTACACCCTTGCCACATTTATGATGTAACTGGCCTGAGAGGGAGAGCCTTCATTTCTGTTCTAGCCAGACCTCTGCCAGTCACCAGTGGGGTGATCTTCCTCTTAAGGGCTCAGTGCCTCATCTATAAAGGAAGTGTTGGGACGGAAGATGGCTAAGGTCCAGGGACCCACTAAGCACTCAGAGCTTGGAGAAACCAGAAGCAGGGCTCACCTTGATGTTTCCATTGGCATCTAGAAGGATGTTCTCCAGCTTGAGATCCCGGTGAACGATCCCATTCTAAAAGAGGAAGGGAATTGAGTCAGGGAATGTCGCCAGAGAAGGGAATGGAGACAAAGGACCTCGTCTAGAAAACCTAACTGTCATAGTTGAGAACAGGCACACTGGGATACAAATACCAACAGAGTCCAAGGCTTTTCCATGGCCAAGAGAGAACAAAGCCAGAGGTAAAAGCATTCCTTGGGCTGAGAGTCCAGAAGCCTTTCTCAGAGTCCCAGCCTCAGCACCCCAGAGAAAACAAGGAACACGACTAGGTCTGGAGGGTGGGCGCTCACCTGGTGACAGTAGTGCAGGGCAGACACGATCTGTCGGAAGAAATGCCTGGCGTCCCGCTCACTCAGCCGTGGCCGCTCACTGATGTAATCGTACAGATCGCCTCGGCTGGCATACTCCATGACAATCACAATCTTGCTGCTATTCTCAAACACTGGAGAGGGTGAGCAAGAATGTCAGGCCTCCCGGAGAACACTGCTCCCACCTCAGGCCATAGTCTCTGTCATAGCCTCACCCCAGATTGGACCTCCCTGTGGAATGTCTGCTACAGGGGACAGGGCCACAGGGCAGCAAATGAAGGCAGAAGAGCCATGAAGACTCAGTGCCTTCTAGGAACAGCAAATCAAAACATGAAGTCAGTGGCTGTGTTTAGGCTTTTGAAGACCCTGCAATCTCCCGGGAAGGCAGAGATATCACGAATGGGAGTAAAAGGCAGGGCTGTCTGAGACCCTCCACTTCATCTTACGACCTTGGCCAAGTTGCTACTAGATCTACCAGTGAGAATGAAGGGTTGCTGGATGAACTTGGATACGTAATCAAACCATTGTGTCCTAGTTTCCTCCCTCGAGATTAGAACTCCCAGCAACAACAACAGCAACTTCCCAGTCTCAGGCGAGAAACAGACAAGAAACCAGGGACAGACAGTTCTTGGACTGGCACAGTATTTGACACACGAGAAAGTGCTCAAAAAACAGGACCTATTACTGTACCCTGTTCTCCTGTACAAGTCTAAAGCCTGAGGCTTGCCCTGTGACTGTGAGAGCCGAGAGTACCCAGGCGACGGCCAAGGTGCATATGGCCTCGATCACAGAGGCAATCAATAAACATGTGGTAATTAATTGGCTGGCTGGTTGGCTTCTTGGCAGTCAGCCCACTCCAGTTAGCCCATCTCCATGGTGTAGGAGGAGCCGTCTCACCACTGAGTCCTGGCTCCAGTCCTCTAGAAAAGTAGAAAATAACTGGCTCATCAAACTGGCCCTTCAGCTGGTGTGTCAGAACATGCTAGTCTATGACATGGCATCTTTGTGTTAAACGGGTCCTATGAGTTTGGCTTGCTGGACAAGCCCCAGAGCCTCTGAGAAGGAGCTAAGGAGTGAGTCCTCGCTCCCAGATGTCAGCCTCAAGACCAGACAAAGATTTGTGGTAGTGTTTTCCAGGTGACCCAGACTCTTAGGAGTACCTGACTAAGACTCCTCACGTGTGGTTCTCAGTCTATATGCTAGGAACTAAAGCTAAAAAGACGGCATGGTGAATTTTGAGGAACATTAGAAGTCAGTCCCAGCATTCTCGTAGGCCAAAATGTCTAGAGTGGATAGCAAGATGAAGATGAATCTGGAAGAATCCTTTAGACACCAGTAACAGTGATGCCTGTGCCCGAACGCTTGAGTGCATGTGCGTGTACGTGCGTGAGTGCTCATGCACATACACCAACAAAACAAAAACCAACAATGAAAACACCATGAGACAAAACCCTGAGCATCAGTTCAGTTCTCAGACCCAAGTGGGAACTGGATACAGAGAGACTCCATATATACACTGATTCATGCACATGCATGTGGGGGCGCGCACACTCTGCCAATCACCAAGCGTGATCTGCCCACTGTTCCCGGAGGGAAGAAAAGAGAAATACAATTAGCCTTCTCAGTCACTTGTCTGGGCTCCTCATAGGACAGACTCAAGCCACAGGGTTATAACAGTAGCTTTGCCCTTTATCTTCCTATGAACCTGAAAGTCAAGGCCTTTCTATTCCTCCTACCAGGAATCTTCAGACAAAAGAAAACCACTCTAGACAAGTCCACAGGCTCCTCCCTTCCATCCCTTCTCCTCTCCCTCCTGCTGCTGTTCCTGTGATCCTGATTACTGAAGTTACATAAAGACTTGAAACAGACAGGTGTACGTGGGAGGGAATTCACCCTTCTCCCCTCGGCACCTCCTCCTGCTCACTTTGTTGTCTGGGCCACAGGGAAGAGGGCAGCCAGAGTGATCAAGCCAGAACTGATGTCAGAAGAGAGGCAAGAGAGGCAAGAAGAGGCAGAATAAATCTACGCAGGAGTGATTCAGGGACTTTAGGAGGCCTGGCTAACAGAGCAGCGTAGAACAGCACCCACACACCTGAGACAGGTGCGGACTCTGGGACTCTGGCCTTGCAGCCTCTCCTGGGTTGCTAAGGATCTCATGGGGTTCGGAGGCAGTGCTATTAGGGAAAAAAAAAACAACAACCAGAAGACTTGCAGTCTGGAATGAAGATGGAGCTCAATTTACAGCGCTTACCTAGCAAGCGTGGGATTCTAGGTAGAACCCCTGCCATGCTACCAACACACAAACAAGCCTACAGCTTTTCCACTTACAGAGTACTCAGTGACAGAATCCAGTTGGATTTTTGCTACTGCCCTGTGATACAGATGAATTATGCTGTTTTGTAAGGGAGAAGTCCTGTGTCATGTGGCGAGGTTTTGAATGCAGCTTTTGCACCTCCAAAGCCTTTATCATTCTTCCTTCCTTTTTAAAGAGAACTTTATTTAACTTATGCATTTATTTCAAGGAAGGGTCATATTATGCACCTTTGACTGACCTCGAATTTATATTGCTCTTGTCTCAAGCCTCCTAGGGCTGGGGTAATAGGCGTCACCATTGGACACATGTTAACGTCTTTGTGTTGGTAGATCTGACTTCTGTGCACCCCCCTCCACACCCCCAGATTCCTGGCTCCCAGCTCCAAATGTCCCACTACTGTACCTTCATGGATGGCAATGATATGGGGGTGGTTGAGTGAAGACATGATCTCAATCTCCCTCCTTATGTGCAACAGATCTTGCTCATCTTTGATTTTGTCTTTCCTGATTGACTTGATGGCCACCTGGGAACAGAGGATGCAGGAGATTAAGGAGAAAGGTCTAGCAAGGCATCTCTGAGGATGTTCCATGAGCCCTGGCCCTGGTCCTCTGCCTGCAGCTGCAACACATAGCATGCACCAAGAGAAGTCACCCATCCTCATCAGGGCAGGTGACAACAATTTGAAGATCACCTTGTCAAGAAAAGGTTATCACCTGAGTCCAGTGCAGTCAAAGCAGCACTGACTAATGACCTCATTTTTAAAGTCTATAGATGAACAAGAAACGTAACAGCCTGCACCTGTGTGAGGTTTGGTGCTTTAGGATTTGCAAATCAAACACACACAGTGCATCCCAAGGACAAGGACCTGGGATGACTTGCTCAGGACGATTTGCTCAGCACTTGATGCCAGGCAGAAGACCTGGCACACATTGGTCAGTGAATAGAAATTTGCTGCATTAGTAAACATACTGGTTCTGCTCTGGAAAGCAGATGAAGAAAGCATCCCCACCCTCAGCCACTGGTGAAGTAACTGGAAACCCAACAGGCCAAACGCTTTCCTTAAAGTTGTAGTCACCAACTAGCACAGCTGGCAAGCTGATTGAATTTAGTCCTTCTTCTGTCCCGAACGCCAATTTGCCATAAACAACCAACCACTCACTAGTCAACATTACTGCCCAAATGCCTACCAACAGGTGAATGGATAGACAAACTTGGTATTAATCTGCCAGAAAAGGAATAGAATCCTGACACCTACGGTGACATGACTGAACCATGAAAATATACTCAGTGAAATAAGCTAGTCACAGAGTGAGAGATGTTATGCCATCCCCTTCTATGAGGAACTAAAATAAACAACTCTATAGAAAGAAAATAGATCAAAAGTTATCATAGATATAAGGCAAAAGATGGCACTGGGGTGTTATTTAATCAACACAGCACTTCCATTTGGGATGATAAAACAATCCCAAATAGAAGTTTTAGAGGGCTGAAGAAGAGATATCTCAACAGTGAAGAGTACTGGCTGTTCTTCCAAAGGACCTGAGTTTGGGTCCCAGCACCCACATGGTAGCTCACAACTGTCTGTAACTCATCTGGTTCCAAGGGACCAGATGCCCTCTGCAGATGTACAAACATATATCCAGAGAAGATAGCCATACACATTAAATAAAAGCATTTTATTTTGTATTGGGACGACTTACAACATTGTGGAAATGTTTAATATGCTAGCGAGTTATAAAAAAAAAAAAAGATCATCAGAAACAAAACAAAAAAAACAAAATCCACCATCCAGTGAGGTAAGGAATGTCCAACAACAAGCAAACAAGTAGACAGACAGTCCTCTGGGGCTTACCATCTTAAAGGGTCTTAAATGTGGAAAGGGATTAAGACCTCCAGCTGGTGTGTGGCGGGCTCAAGAAGGGTGGGTACGGAGGAAATAGAGGAGCTACAGATCAACACCTAAGAGCTTCCATCTCTCTGGTCCATGGAACTCTCTAGAATGGAGAGAACAGAGACCATAGAGCCAGGACCCAGTGCTCCTGGTTCTCTGGTTCTGTCCCAGTGGCTGTGGGCAAGGCCTACCCTTGTCAGAGCCTCAGTTGTCTTTCTGTGAAATAAACAGATTGAACTAAGTAGTGTCCGGGACTTTCCTGCTCTGGTCTGGGAAGCGAGCTGTACAAAAGCCAGTGGCCCTCAGGCTGGGTGAGGGTTGGGTGTCCCAGGTCAGTCGGTCCCTGGCAAGTTCTGGCCAAGGACACCAACAGAATGGTAAACACAGGACTTCCTCTTCACACAAGTAATGAGAAATATGAAGGCCCAGGCTGAGGTAAACAGCTCCTCATTCAATTTCCCAGGAGGGCTGGCCTCCCCCTTGGATTCAAAAGGAGACAGAAAGGAAACCCCAGCTCGAGGGGCGGGGCCTCTAATCCACCCTTTCACAGGCTCTGGAGGTAGACAATGGCTTCAGCTCTCTGGACAGCAGGCTCTTTCGGTTTGTGCTCCCCATCTGACAAGAATGCGGAATAACCCTAATCCTGTCAGAGGAGTTGCTCACAATGCCCATAGCCCGGTCACCCCGGCAACGGGCCAGGGATGGCGTGCCCTCCGCCCCATCAGGCCCTAAAGCTGCATTGCTGAAAAGGGGGCAGGCCCCATTCTCAGCCCTCCCCAGAACAGGGCAGGGAGGACAATGGCAGATGGTCACCATGGAGCCTCATCCCTGAGAGGCCCAGTGCAGGGGGATGATGCAGATGGGAGAATCTGTCTGCTTCAACATTCCACTCTAACCCCGCTCCCTAAAGAGCTAGGCAGAAAATCCCTGGGCTTAGAATTGGGGAGCAGGGCAAAGGCCCTGAATATTCCTTCAACTAGGAGATTCCTCTCTCTTCTCCATTCAGCACAGAGCAATACTCCCACACTCTGCTTTTCCACGCTGCTTTTCTCACCCTGAAGGGGAGATTGCATGGCCTGCTCTCTTCTCTGTAAGTCTTTGTTCATGAAACCAGACAATGAGTAAAGGGCTGTGAACTCTTTAGAGACAAAGGTCTGTAAAAAATCTACTAGTAGGTAGTAAAAACAGTCATATGTAAACACACACCACTATCTAGACAACTAAAAATACCTGAGAGCTTAAAATGCATCCAGGCAAAGAACAGGCAGATGTCTGATGCGCAGTTGTGTACACACAAGTGTATAGAATACTGAGATGACGTCATAGGCTTAGGGCCAGCGCTCTAAGGGAATAGGAGCCAAAAGAAATGAGTTTCCAACACAGATTTTGAGGGTGCTAGGAATTATTTAGTATGACTAGTGGACATACAGGTATCAAGATCCACTTCTTTTAACCTTAGAAGACCCGAGATGCTTATAGGAGATGAAACCCCCAGTTTCATCTCCTATAAGACATCAGAGGGGTGAGGAACAGGCCAACGAACCCCCCAGTTGTCTACAGTAGGTCCTAGGAGATCCTGTCTAGCACTTCCCAGGAAGGAAGCGGGGCATGTTATCAGTCCTCCATCAGTCCCCAAAAGGGTGACAGACAAGAAGGACTGATTTATCACTGCCATGGTGGGGCTAGGCCACTGTTCCCAAACTCTACAAGCCCTAGTATGTCAAAGTAAATTCAATCTACTACCACTCAAACTAGAAAGAGCCCTGCGTGCAGAAGGCCTTTAACAGCTGTACACTAGTGAACACTCATTACAAGTATCTATTTGTCAAGTCCCTGGATGATCTTTGCCTGAAGAAACCAGTGACCAGATAAGGTTTCCTGCTCCCCTCCCTCCCAGGCCTGGGTGGCGTCTCCCTCAGTTACAGGAACTAATTTCTAGAGACCTTTGTTCTCACCTGCAGGGTTATTGGCAACTGCACCTAAGGATGAAAATAAGCTGACTGAAGCCTAGAAAGAAGGTACCAACTGCAGACAGGTACCGAAACCCAATGGGAGGATGGCCACAGGCCAGGGTCTTTGTCCTAACACAAATATTTTTTAAAAACATTTCTGTAAATTTATTAATTTTATGTGTGTGCATGTTTTGTTTTCATGTCTAGTATGTGCACTGTGTGTGTGCCTGGTGCCTAGGTCGGTCAGCAGAGGGTATCAGATGCCCTGAAAGTGGAGTTATGTATGGTTGTGATGACGTTGGTACTGGGAATGGAAACTGGATGGTCTGGAAGAGTAGCAAGTGTTGTTAACACTGAACCGTCATTTCACTCCCTGACACAATCACTAACACCACCCTCTTTACTCTGCATACTACTCACATTTAATCAATTTGTTATATGGCCAGCACCCTCTGAAGCAAAAGAAGGAAAACCAGACCAAGGATGGTTCTGTATGTGTGAACACATGGCCAGCTGTGTGGGCCCTGTGAACCCAGGCACCTGAGTCACACTTGTCTGTCTCAACCTATGCAACTCAAGGCACAGAAGACTAGGAGAATCTGGCTAACTGAGCTGTCTAGTTTGTTTGTTTGTTTGAGAAGATTTATTTTTACTTTATGCATATGGGTGTTTTGTCCATGTGCCATGTGTGTGTACCACAGCCATACAATGCCCATGGAGGTCAGAAGGGGCTTGTATCACCCGAAATTAGAGTTACCAATGGCTCTGAGTGGCCAGCCACGCAGATACTGAGAACTAAACCCAGGTCCTCTTAAGAGGGCAGCAAGTGCTCTTAACTGCTCAGCTATCGCTGCACTCCTGGGCTGTCTAGCTTTAAAGTCCTGGCTTGTGGAAGGGCTTGGGGAGCACTAGGGGTGGCTCTCTTTACTTGGAAGAGCATCAGAAACCAGCCCAGGAGAAGAAAACCATTTCAGATATGGAAGGATGAGTGAGGGTTTCAGCTAAGGCAGCGGACTAGGAGAGGGCAATGAGCATGCCCGGCAGATCGGGGTAGATCTCCAAGCTCCCTTCCATGCTTCAGCATTCCGTGTACAGCTTCCTCAGAAATGGGCCGCGGCAATGTCAGGAAGGAGCCAGCTAAGGACTATTGCTGGGCCATCATGCTCGGCCATGTTAACTGCCAGAGTGTAATACCTGCTGAAAACATCCCAGTAAATTTTCTTGTCCTTGAAGCTCTGCAAGTTCATAAAGTCAACATCCTCAACCAGCAGTGAACTCTTCAGAGAGATAAACTCACGTCGCCAAGTTTCCTCCATGCACAGGACAGGACTGCAATGAAGGAGAAGCTAGTATCTCAGAAGACAAAAGTTCCTTGGAGGTGTCCAGTCCTGCCCCCGATCCCTGGAGAAGGGACTGCCCGTATCTTGCCATGGGCCACATTGTGTGTGCCGCTCCTTCCCACTTAAAACATGCCCACCCTTTGCCAACACCCTGAGGAATCAGTGCCGAGGCTCCATGGGTAAATACCTTCCCTCTCCCAGAGCCTGGATTAGGAATGATCTGTATTCAGGTGATCAAAAAGCTTTAGAAAGAAAAAGAAGGGAAGGGGGTGGGGAGGGCAGAGATGCTCGTTCTGGGTGCTGGGAGAGATGGTCCAACTTGGGCATCTCTGGTCATAGCCAAGATCCTTGACTCCTTTTCTGTCCTTTCGTGGGAAGCAGACAAGGAGCTGGAGGATGACCCACTTAGATAGTGCTAGAGAGGTTAGGTTATGCAGTTGAGGCTGGACAGTGGGGATGTACCACCCAACCAAGAGCTAGACAGGAATCAGGAAGAAGCTGTGCAGGTAACCTGAGCCATCTCCCCCTGTCCCATATAATGCCACCTCCTCCCTGCCTCCTTCTAGCCCACTCTGCCAGGTTCCTGAGCAAGGAGCTTCTCTGCCCAGCCCTTTTGTGTGGTTTGGCTGGATCCCAAGGACAAGAGTCGCCTGCAGCCTCCCTCCCTGCTGCTGAGCAGGCAGGTGCAGGAGGAGCTGGGAGGGCAGCATCTTGCCCAACAAGCCTTTGGCAGCTGGCCAACAGGAGTCCTTCTCTGAAGTTGGCTGAATGAGAGATGAGGGCTTTGAACAAAGCGGAGACCATAGTGATTGAACTCAAGAAGACTGAGCCCAATCTATGCTTCTCATTGAGACAGGAGAGGACCACGATGTGAGAGTTCCCTAGGTCAAAGCCACCCTTACTGGGACAATAAGCCCATAATGTCTGAGACACTGCTAGGATTTTTGCAGATACTATTTTATTTAATCCTAGAAGCAGCCCACGACACAGGAAGCATTGTAATCTGCATTTCACAGTTAAGGACTCTGAGGAACACAGAGGGGTAATGCATCTGGTAAGCCATGGGAAGCAGAAATTGACACTTTACAGGAATATAGTATCGTCCCTCCCACCCAGGATCCCTCAGCACGGTATTGAGAAGGGGGGTTCCCAGTGACATCTCCCACTGTAAACATTGCCTGCAGTGCTGGGAGGGCTGCTAGAGCTAGCCGATGGGATGACAAAGCGCTCAGAGGCAAGCCCAGGCTCATCTCAAAACTAACTTCTAGACCAAGACTCAGCACTTGGTCATCCAAGGCTTATGGTGGACAAGTCTGGAGGTTTTGCTGCAAGTCTGCCATTGCCCAGTCAGAAGACAAGTCACTTCCCCTCTCCGGGCCTCAGTTGAAGGAAGCAGCTTGTTGCCGTCGTTTTCCAATGTTTTGTAGCCCACTGAGCAATTGAAAGTGTAAAAGGAGCACAAGCAATGTGACCCCACAGAACTACTCACATGAGCCCCCTTCCTGCCCGTCATGGCGCCCCCTTAGGGATGATTGAGACATTCATGCAGATCAGACCAAAGGCTTGGGTGAGACCCCAGCATGTGTTTTTCTCTTTAGGGAGAGCCGTTGGACTCACAGGAGGAAATGTCATTTAGATACCAGGAATGTGTCTGAGATCCAAAGCAAATATTTGGCTTTCCTCTGATGCCCTCCTGGAGCAGCCATTCGTCCCACCTACCTGTCCCTCCCTGTAGATAATCCCATGGGACCCTGCTTAACCATCTTTACAAGAGGAGAGTGGGAAGGGAGCTGCAAATGTAGTGAGAAATTCCAGATGGCAGGAGGCTTTCCTGGGAACCAGGCTCCCACCAGCAGTCTCAGCTCTTCCAAAGTAAGACCTGAGCAGCGAGCAGCGCCGTGTCCCACTCCCCTACTGAAGCATCTGAAGCATCATCTCTTTAGGGAGAGCAGTTAAGATGTAGGGGTGGGTGGGTAGGGATGAGGGCACTGCTCCAGGATTGAGAAATCATTAGCACAGCAGAGAGCTGCTTTCCAAGAAAGAGGGGGGACCCTGAGAAAACTCTCAACAGCAACCCTGGGTGGTCTGGATGGGGAGTTTCAGAGCAGACTCTCCATGTTTGCTGATCTTGGCTCCTTGCACACAGCAAGACACATGAACCTGGGAGTTCCTTCTGATTCTCTCTGTTTTGGTGTAAGAGTCATTGATTTACTTCACTTCAAAATCAAATGTGATCTCTCTCTCTCTCTCTTTCTTTCTCTCTCTGTCTCTCTCTCTCTCTCTCTCTCTCTCTCTCTCTCTCTCTCTCTCTCTCTCTCCCCTCTCTTTGTGTGTGTGTGTCAGGTAGTGACCTCAATCAAGAGCTGATGGGAACTCTGAACTTTGATCTCTGTTTCTCAGACACTCTAGTTCCCTCAACTCCCTCTTCCTACAACAAGCAACATGGGACACAAGGCACAAGCAACCATTTTCTAGCTAAGCCCCCAGACAAAGCCTGGGCCCTGAAGTCTCAAGCCTGGAGCCTCTGGGGCCCTGGCACTTTATAGAAAGAGAAAGAAAAGAAAGCCCGGAAGTACACGATTGCCCAATAACTGTAACCTGGCAGCGGGCAACTGGGGACTGTGCCAGGCCTTAGCAGGAAAAACATACTTGTTCCTATTGATGGGGTTATAATCCACTCCTTTCTCCAACATCCACTCTCCTTCACCAATGAAATAACTTCTTGAACTTCAAACCAGCTACTGGCTACAAAAGCAAACAATTAGGGGAGGGGACCATTCCCATAGTCCATAGGGCAAATGATAGCTGCACATACACCACCCCCACCCCCACAACCAGCATCCATTGGACCTGCCAAATGTTATTATCCCTAAAACCACCTGCTCCGAGGCTTGCTAACATGTGAATAATAGATCTTCTATAAAATACTTCCCTTGGTGGGAAATGAGAGACTGAGCATTTTAAACAAGTACCCAGCTAATACCCAGACCCGCTGAACTGGAGTAGAAGAAACAATGTTGTGTAACTTTTGGTAAATTTGCTATTCTTTCAAAGGGACGTCTCCAGATAGAGGTAGTCATTCTCAACACAAGATCTATGATCAGGGCCCACGTGCAGTCACTATATCTTATTCATTATATCATTATATCTTAGTCTTCCAAGCAGCTTTTAAGACAGGCTGTGTTCTCTCAATTTTTGCAGAAGGGGAAACAGAAAACAGAGATGGAGGAACTTGCTCAGAGTTACGGATTACTATTACGATTACACATGCGTGAATCAAAAGGGCAAGTTCCCCAAAGGCCTCACACCCAAAGACTTGGCTAGAGTGCCAGGAGATATAGTGGACCTGGCATTTGGGCCTGGTTTTACGTTTCCCAGAATAAAAGCCCATCACAAAGAAACTTTGCTTCATCTCAGTTGGAAAGACCCCAAAGTGTCAAGTCAGAGTTAAAGATCTCCACACCTCATCCATCTAGCAAGATCTGGTGCTTTCAACTTCCTCCTTCCATTCTACTCTGTTGACGTTTGTTCCAGTCAAAACTCAAGTTAAGCCACGTCTTCTCAAACCACGGGCATCTAGTGAAGCTAAAGTTCTCAGATCCATGAGCACTGTTCCTGAAAACCATGGACAGACACATCTAAACTGCGCACGCCTGGCAACTCAGCCGAGGACACTGCAAGGGACGCGCTGTGAGCTCCTGAGAGCCGGGCGCCGCGAGGGACACTCACCAGGCGTCCCGAGCTCTCTCGTGCCTTCTTCACCTTCCCGTAGGTGCCCTTGCCCAGGGTCTCCAGGAACTCATAGCGATGTCGCAGATTGTGTTTGTGATGGTGCCGCTTCACCGCCTGCTTCTTCATCAGAGGTTTGGGCGACTTGATGAGCCCGTCCGCCAGCGGCCGGGTGCTCTCCGTAGCCAGGGCGGAGGCTGAGGGAGCCTGGCTCGCGAGCCGGGGTAAGGCCACCGACTCCATGGTGCGGGGACCGCGAGGCGAAGCGGGTCGGGCAACAGCAGCGCGCGGAGAGCCGCGGGCTCAGAGGTCACAGCCGCACCCGAGCACGCTAGAAAGCCCCGCGTTCCGAATTGCTATAAAACGTTTCGGGGGGGGGGGGGTGGAGTGGCGGGGGGAGGTCCTGGCCACGCCCCTGAGTCCCATTGGCTAGTTTGCCGGCGACTCGTGACCAAGGCCTCCGCATTGGCTCAACGGCTCCCGCCCCGCTCCTCCCCTTGGCTAGGCGCGGAAAGGTGTGAATGGAGCCCCGCCCACCTGGACCCGAGGGCCAAGAATGTGAGAAAGGAGGCAGAATTACTACCGAAGTGCCAGTCCTTACATTTGAAGGTTCTCTGAATTGCTTTAGTCTCTGGATGACGCCATCCTTGTGCTATTGTGCTGTTCTCGGTTGGCAAGGGACAGAAAGGGCACTAGAAAGCCCCGAAGTATTTACACGCAGTAAAATTGTTTCTCCCAAGCTCAAAATCTGAAAAGCCATCTGATAACTTCTTGAGGTCCATAAAGGAGAGCGTGAATAAGGAGATGGAGTGGATTGGAGGCTGACTCCAGCTAAGCACTCTGCTTGGTTCCACCAACCTTAATTGGATTCTGGAATTCAATAGGCCTGGGAAATCCTTACTTTATAGGGTTGAGTGGATTCCCTCAAGATGTGGTGGTCTTTGTGGATATTTCCATAAACCGTGGAAAAAGCACATCACATTCCAAGGACTTACATCCTTGTGTCTCTAAATCTGTAAGGACCGTCTTGGTCCCAGGGTTTTGTCCTAATGATTTTTAGTCAGAAGAGCAGGAGGCCGAGAATAAGATTTGGCTGCATTTGAGGGGCCTGGAAGGCTATGTCCAGACCCTCTTTTCTGATGTAGAAAGTGAGTCTACTTTGCCAAAGACCTCACAGCTGGCAAGAAAGCCACAGACCTGGAATTCAGACACTGGCCAATAGGGAACAAACATAGGACAAGAGGACTTCCCTGATTCCAGCTATTCGGGGCAGGCATCCCTCTCTACTCTGCTGGACCTCATCTAGCTGTATCTTTAGGACTTGACAAAGGATCAAAGAGGACTACATCCTCAATTATGAAATTAAAAAAAACCTACTTTCCATTTTCCCACTTCTTTGAATCTTTCCGGGGGAAATAACCAGTATCTCCTTGTCGTGGAGCTCTCTGTACCCAGAGACAATCCACCAGGAATCAGCCTTCTCTAAGTCTGGATGGTCCATGAAAACTGTATAGCTAGTTTGGCATCCTACCTCCTGTCAGCCTGCCTGTGCATTCTGAGTAACCTGTGAAAATAGAAAAGGCTCAACCAATCTGCTCTCTCTGCTCCCTGTCTGTCAGTTCCTGGGGGTCTGTCCAGGCAGAGTAGGACAATGAAAAACAAGAGTGAGAGGAGCAGACTTGGGGCTGGGAGACCTGGGTTCTAGTCCAGGCTGACATGAGAACAGGAGGGAGCCCCTAGCCCAGATGGGAGGAGGACAGTTTGGGGATGCTTTCTAAAGACAGGGCTTTGAAAGCTTACTAAAAGACCCACGGCCATTAGCTAGCAGTATCAACATTTCCTCCTAAGATAAAGACGTATTCAGAGAAGCCCAAGGTTCCCTTTAAGACTTAATTTAGACACATCACTATTCCTAAGCATCCCCAGTACCTGGTGCACTGCTGAGCAGATAAAGATGCACAGTGGATTCATACGGACCAAGTGTATGGATGGACAATGGAAGCAAACAAACAGACCTGGCTGCAGAGGAGTGAGCTGTCAGAACCACGACGAGAACTGAGAGATGGTCCAGTGGGTAAGAGCACTGACTGCTCTTCCAGAGGACCAGGGTTTGATCCCCGGCACCCACAAGATGGCCCACAACCAGACACAACTCCAGTTCCAGGGGATCTGGTGCCCTCTTCTGACCTCCAAGGACATCAGGCACGCATAGAGGCAAAATACCAGACATATAAAATAAATTAACTATAATTACTTACAAAACTACTGATTAGAACAACCAAGTGCTGGGACTCAACTTTCATGCTGTGTAGGGAAGGCCTGGGATGTGGCTCAAAGATCAGTGACTTAAAGATTAGGCTTAGATCTTTGGAGGATTTGTTAGGACGGCTAAGCTGAGCTGAACCACCCTCGTTCAGTCCTCTCTGCTTCACGTCCTAGGAGGAGGCACTTCTTCTAACCCTTGTACCCAATCACCAACTTCTTAGCCCAGTGATTCTCAACCTTCCTAGTTCCATCACCCTTTAATGCAGGTCCTTGTGTTGTGGTGACTCCCAACCATAAAATAATCTTTGTTGCTACTTCATAACTGCAATTTTGCTACTGTTATGAATTGCAATGTAACTATCTGATATGTGACCTCTGTGAAAAGATCCTGCAATTCGATAGGGGTCACGACCCCTAGGTTAAGAATCAAGGATTTAAAGACTCCTGTGGAAAATGAGCCTTCTGTGTAGTCACTGGGAATAAGTATCCATTCCTGAACTCCTGCACTCCATAGTCTGAATGTGCTATGACAAGTATTAGGTGCAGGGTGTAGGCAGGGGGACATGAGAGACAGCAAGGCTGTGTAGTGAGGGAAATGGGGCAGGGGTGGGTAAGGCAGCTGTCAGGCACATCTAGGGGGATGACTATTAATTAGTTCCCCACTCTCAGGAAGTTTTCTGCCTAACAAGAGAAATAGGATAAATAAAGAAGATAAAAACAAAATAAATTTCTCCTATACTCTATGACAGAAAGTGGGAGACCCCCTCAAAGTGGTATGAAGTGTAAGTATATGGCAGAAAAGTTGGGTCTTCTCTGGCTCAGGAGTTCAGGGATCAGGGTGCTCAGAGGAAGCCTCTTGAAGGGGTGGGTGTGACATAGATTAGTCTCAGGAATGACATGGAGATGTAGGGAGAAGGAATAGAGAGAGCTAATTCTTTTGATCTCTGTGTATCTGAGAGCCATAGGAGTCTCCAGGACCCCAGAGTGTCTACTCCCTGGGAGTATCGGAGTAGATGTGCAACTTTTTCCCCCTTTTTCTCAGAGAGAAGAGCAGATGCAGGACCCAGCTCACCACCCACCTCCAGCCAGAGACCTTAGTCATTAAACTGCCCTTTCCTTAGAGCTCAGATGAGTTCTGGCCTTCAATCAGCTTTTAGCCCCACTCTATGGTGGACAGTAAGGCCTGGATATGCAAACCTTGCCCTCTTAGGGGCTGGTGGAATTGTGTGAACAGGAACCAGCCTGTTAGAACTGGTTCTCCAAACCAAGGAGGTATGAATCCAAAGAGCTGGCTTAAACCCTGTAGTCTAGGAAATTGAGACGTCTGGCTCAAAGCTGCCCTCTTCTGGCCCAATTGAGTATAGCAGGGCTTGTGGCAGGACTAAAACTGTGACTATCCGTTCCTTGTATAATGTCTATCTACCATTTGTTGAGCTGGCCCGAGTTCTAAGCATCCTAAATAGAGTGTCACCGGCTAGAAAGTAGCAGAGCTGGAGGTAAATGAACATGATCAACTCAGTGTCATGTCTCAGATCATATATCACCTGTGGGGCCCAAATGCATTCTGGAAGTACAAGATGGAGTGAGTGAGCTACAATCTAAAATTCTAGCAAGTCCTACAAGGAAGATGGCAGCCTTTGCTGGCCTTAGCTGGCCTGTCCAGATGAACTCATGCTTCACTAGGGACTAGCATATGATTATGCGCACTGTGCAAATTTGTAAGCTAAGCCACAGAGAGACGAAGCGCCTGTCCCTATAGGGTCACATAGATGGTACCAGAAAGGACAGGCTTATGGCTGGGTATGGATTCTGGTTTTCTCAGGCTCCTGATTCTCTGTACTCATGTATGAAGCATGTCCCATGTCTTTCATGAGCTTGCTTTGGGACCAAATGAGATGTGAAGTTACCAGATGGATGGTATCCTCCTATCTTGGGTTTTGGCTGGCCTTTGGCCTTCCGGCCAGCCCTGGCAGAGATTCAAGTGTGTTTCTGGGAGGCTGTACAACAAGGACTTAACAGATACTTGAGCTCTGTTTGATCTGACCCAGGCCAGAGTGAAGATAAGCTCAGAGTTAGTGAGTGACTGTTGAAACTGTCTGAGCTTGAGAGCTATGCTGGGAGACACAGGAGGAGCTGGGGGACACAGGAGAAGCTGGGAGA